ATTTAAATTTTTTTGCTTTCAACTACGTGCACTAGCCTCTATTGAATTGTTGCAGGTACATCTGCTGTCATGCAGAATAAATAGCATGATATTTTCCTTTACTTAGTTGCTTGTCATTGTTAAATTTTAATTTTTTTGCTTTCAAGTACGTGCACTAGCCTCTATTGAATTGTTGCAGGTACACATGTTGTCATGCAGAATAAATAGCATGATATTTTCCTTTACTTAGTTAATTTTCCTTGTTAAATTTTCATTTCTAGTCAAAATTAAGCGCAAGTTCAAGTTCAAGTTCAAGTTTCAAGCACGCGCACATTGTTGCTAACTGAGGGACAACTATTCTCCGGACATCTGGTGCCTTTATGCGCATTCAATTGAAACCATGCTCAAATGCTAAGTACGAGGAAAGTATTCAGTATTCAGTATTCAAATAAATTTCCATCATCAAAAGGATATCACGGCAGAGTGGATCACCCTAAGAATACATACAGTGCTTATTTCTTTCTGGCCATGTTCCATACTACATTAGTTATGAACTTTTGAGTATCAATTACTTCCAAGCTGATAGTATATTTTTTGTTGCTTTTAGATCTTTTAAGCATAATATTAAAAGGCAAACTAAAGGTAAAACGTGGCTATCTGATTCTCTAGCTTTCTCGCTAAATTTATACTTAAAGTATAAAAAAAGTCTCTACCGCGTCATTTATTGATTAGGAAGATGAACTGTTCCAACAACCGTCGTGTAGAATCCATACATCGATAACAATCAAGCACAATGAATTAAAATGTTTAAATATAGCGGCCACTTTATGTGCATTATGGGCCAAACGCAAAGATAGAACAAAATCAAGGACAAACTTTTCGCATCATCGCTTAAGCACCAGTCTTTGTTGTGCTGAGCGACCTGTACTGCGGACAAGTCTTTTTGCGGGGTCATGGAAATTTAAATTAAAACTAACATGGATGTTTCGACTGAGTACCACTTTCAATTTACACTTTATTGAAATGCAGAGTTTTTTTTTAACTTGTTTTTTTCTGTTATTTTGTGTTTTTCTTATTGATGAATGCAAGTCGCCATTATTAATTTGCAGCATTTTTTCTTGCAATGTTTTGTATATGAGCCGGAAGGAACTTACTTTCTCGGAATAAACAAAAAATATTAATGTTGTGGATTTAACTCTCAACTTAAAATTTAGAGAAGTAATTACTGTAGTGGTCTGAGTCATCAGGCTTAGCAGCTGAACTATGTAGCAGGTTACATGATACAGACGGCGATTTCGTCCTCCGCTCGCTTCTCCCATCGTCCTGAGTAGAGGAAGGAGCATTTCTTATGTCACACTTGTTTTACGATTTTATGTTCCAGCAGCATAATATGAACAAGGAAGGAAGGAACGTTTCAATTATAAGAGAGAGAGAGAGAGAGAGAGAGAGAGAGAGAGAGAGAGAGAGAGAGAGAGAGAGAGAGAGAGAGAGAGGGGGGGGGGTAGTATACGCGGATTGAGGACAGTCTGAACAGTCTGAATAAATGCTTGCAAAAGTCTAAAGGGGACCTCCATTTACAGGTCGCTTACGAGCGAATAGAATGTATCTCATAATCGTTGATTACGCCCTCCACTGACCTATCATAGCAGAATGTGAACATCGGTGGGAGCTTCGACAAATATGTTTTCCTCTGTTTTTAATTTTTCATTAAAGTCGCCGACAGACACGTTTCTTAAATAAGTTTTAAGTTTTGCTATGCCTGCCGACCGTATTTTTGAAAGCGATGTGTAGCTGAGCTGCATTGCATAATTATCTTTGATGAGGACGAAAATAACTTATTATGGTTTCCTACAAGAGATTATAAACAGCTTCTAATCTCTAGTTTCTAATGTATTTGGTAGAACAAAGATCTCTTGCACGTGAACCCTAACTGACAGTGGTTTTCACCGCATATCAGTCTGTAAATCGTGAGCTTAACCTCAAAGAAGAGTACACACAAAACTGTGTGGTAAAGATCAAAAATACTAGAATAGAATTAAAATCATAATAATAATAATAATATAAAAAGGAAAAAGAAACCAGCACGTCAAATTAGCTGCCTTTGAAGTGAAAATCATGTTACATTGTGGGAGTCCAAACAAAATGATTAGATATTCATCAGACGATTCGTAGGTTGTTTGTCGAAAATTAGCGTGTTTCCCCACAATGTAATTAGGCCCTATGTGGGAGACAGCGCTCTACTATTCTGCAGATGCTTCCGCTGGTGTTCGAGAAACAAAACCTGCTTTGCATTTTATTCGTTTGTAGCGACTTTGGAAGGTTATTGGATGCACAAGTCTAACGATATCTTTCTTATTCTGTTATGTTAACTTCGCGCGTGATAATGCATCACAAGTCCGTCAAAACTGCTGCAAACCGTGTCAAAGTGGCATGAACGTAGTCACTATGTAAGGAGTTAGATTACTATGTCACTGTGACCGGGACTCGTTACTCATTTTAATTCAATTTACTAATTATGAGACGCCACAAACCTGGAATGATTTATATCCCAAACAATACAACGGATGCTTTAAAAACAGCATGACGTAATTTAGCAGGAGGCAAGGGAAGAAGATTGAAATCGGTCGAAGCCTCGTGTCAGTCCACTTTCTAATAAACAGGAAGACGATGTGATCTCGGTTTATCATACCAACTTTCGAGCAATAAATTCGAGCTCGGAAAATGAAAACCAGATGGAAGGAGAGAATTAAGCAGAAATATAACCACTTGGCCACGCGTGATCTCCCTTTTTTTTTCTTTTTTTGGCTTTTTTTCCCTCTCGCTTCTTCCTTTGTAGTATGTGGGTTTGAAAACGTGCGATTTTTACTTGTATGAGCAAGTCAATCAATCCTATTTGCGTAGACAGACAATCAACACACATCGAAGACTTTGCTTCAACGGAAGAAGAGTTGGTAAACATCGGTTCCATGTCCACGAATACGTGGCTCAAATCCCATGAACGTATTGTACATAAGTTTTGAACCGTGTGAATGTGCTAGTTTTTCTCCAAGTAGGTGTACTAAAATTATCACAGGTACATCTATTATCATACGGAATAAATAACACGATATATTCCTTTCTTATTTACTCACCGACATTTAAAGCCCATTCATTGTTACCTTCTAAAGAATAATTATTCTCCGGACATCTGGTAACCGCTTTGTGTCCAGAGAATTTAAACCATTTCCAAATTATCTTAGGGAAGTATTCAAGAAATGCAATGTCCAACGTTCGGAAGATTTCACTTCAGGTTCAATTACCATGGGAATTATACGAGAGTTTATTACTTTTTTTCTAGTCATTGCAGTTGCACTATCCATTCAGAAAATATGTTAAGTGTCAGTTAACTTGACAGATTCACAGCAGGTGTGTTTCCTTGGCAACAGCTTCTTAAGCACCCAAAATGCACCAAATTCGCAAAAAGTGAAGCCTGCAATTCAAACTGACCGTAAATTTATGTAAGTTTCAAGCACCCATTAATTGTTGTGACATTCTTTAAGAGTGATTTCTTTACGGTACCAGACATTTTGCTGCATTAGCATAGAAAGGGGAAAACTTTTCAATAATAAATATATTAATGTTGCGGATTTGATTATCGACCTCAGCACCACCAAAGGCTTTTTTTAGCAAACTAATCAGAAGACTTTATTTCCAGCTTAGCAGGTAATACGATCTCAAACGGCGATCTTTTTCCTCGTCCGCTCAGTTTTCCAATCATCCTTAACAGGAAGAGGCTTTTCTCATGCAACAGACGCTGTTTCCATTCTGGCTGGAGGTGACAGAAATTTAATTGTGTTTTGTTCAAGTAGCATAATATCAACAAGTAAGGGAAAGTTTTTATTTTGAATTTGTCCTTTGTCAGGAGGGGGGAGGATAATAACGTTGTTTTTGCGGTTGAGGACATTTTGAGAACCTCAAAACTTGCCACGCGGTATATTTTACAAATAAAAATGCCTTGAATGCGTTCTGTTTTGTTATAAAGCACGCAGGAAGCGGAAAAAATACGAATGATATTTTTCCCACTTCTTTGGGGATTTTCTTCTCTGCCCATGTTATAATTTCGTCAATAACGGCGCTGAGCACCTTTTCAAACCTTTGTTCCGAAGTTTCACTTTCAATTAACAAAAGAAAAGCTAGAGAGAAGTCAGGGAAATGGTTAGACGTTGTACAAATTCGCAGATGGCCTGACAGCTCTAGCTTAGCTCTGTGTTTTATATACTCTGATAAAATACACTCTTTCAACCAACGACAGCACGTGATACATCCGTACTATATTACAAATTTGTCCGGTGCCATTACCTTTCAAATTTGTTACAAACAGACACAATGTTCCTTGTAATCATGGATTACGCCTGCCATCGCAGTTTTTCTTCCTAGAACACACCAGTGGAATATTCTACAGAATAATGGCACTGTCTGAGAAATGGTTACCTCCGACAAACAACTTACTTACTGAGAGATGAATGTCCAGCTTTTTTTTCCTCTCGTTTTATCACTATGGAGGCAGTATTCGATTAATATGTCACGTGTATTTTGTCAAGGGTGTCCTCAAAATATAACGAGCGTCATATATTTTTAAAGCACTCAATACATCAATGAAACTTATAAAAACAGAGGGCAAGCGAGAAAGGGGAAGCAATATTTTTGACAAGCTTACTTCCAGAGCGAAAAATTAGTGAGGGTTATATGGTAAGTTCAATTAAATGAGAAAAGATAATAAGTGCATACTGTTGAATATCAAAAACAACTTAACTTCGAATTGTTTTTCGCTTTCATAATCACTTTTTTAGATTTTGATTCCTTTCTTTGAGAAGAACTTTGCAATTAAATTTCTGGAAGTGAAAACCACAATCAGTTAAGGTTTCGCTCAGGCCGGGTGATTTTTTGCTTTTTTTTTTTACAAATTTTCCCAAGCTTTTGGTCATTGATCAAGATAATTATGTGAAGCAAATTGATCACCTGCATATCGCTGTAAATACATTGGGCAAGCATTACAAAACACTGAACCCACATAACAACCGCGGCTGAAGGCGACTTTTGGCGAAGATTCAAGACCAGAGCGGAATATTTCAGAAACCTCACATTTGTTATACCAATGTACTAAGGGTTAAAGGAAGAAGGAGAAATCACATTAATTATACCAGCTAACAGAGTGAGTACTAACTGCGTATATATTTTTTTTCTCTACACCGTAGACTGGAAGATTTAGTTTTATATGCCGGCGACAAAACATCCGTTTTTGTGGCATTGCCTGAGTGGTAACCTCGAAGTGGAGTTATTTTCATCTTGAAGTATGATTAACTTCACGTGTTATAATGCAACACAACTCAGCCCATACTGCTGCAAACCATTTCAAAGCGACACGAACGCAATCAAAGGGGTTAAAATTCTATTTTATTGTATCCTTTTGTTGATGTCAATTATTGGAAACTCGATGCTCGTTGCCATAATCAAGATGAATAAACGAATGCAGACCATTACGAGTTATCTTATTGCCAATGTGGCTGTCTCAGACATTGTTATAACAGTACTGGTAGTTCCACGACAGATAACAGAAATATTGCTCGGCCCTCGATCATGGTTGGTGAAGGGATTGTTGGGCTCCATTCTTTGTAAAAGCGTTTCCTTTTTACAAGACATCACAACTGCTGTCTCAGTTATCAGTCTCGTGGTCATTACCATTGACAGGTACAGAGGAATCGTGTTTCCCTTCCAGAAACAATTTATGAGTCCCGCTAAACTCTGTAAAATCGTTATACCATTTATATGGATTGTAGCGATGTCTTTTCACGCAGTGTACTTCAATATTTTTCGTATTGTAACAAACAAAGGAGGAACAATCTGCGCGCCATACTGGAGTCCAAAGTCTCAGCAAACGAATTTTATTATAATATTTGTGTGTTTGGTAGCTTTTCCAGCGTGCGTGATTACATTTCTGTATTTGCGTATTATTCACAATCTTAAAAAGAACGGAAATATTCAGTGCAGAGGACCTTTGGGTTTGAAAAGACTAAAAGAAGACACAAAGGTCGTGAGGAATATCATTGTAGTACTTATTGTTTTCATGGCATGTATGATTCCAATCAATACATATGGAGTTATGTTTTACTTCGTGTGGGAGTGGAAAATGCCCTGCGGGATGGAAAACTTTGGTTTTGCAGCCCACTATATTCTGTATGCAAATGCTTCTTTGAATCCGTGGATATACCTTTCTTTGAACGATAAATATCGCAAGTGTTTCGTGAACATTTTAAAGAAACTTCACATCGTCGAGAAAAGGGCGGAGACTACGAGAAGATCATCACAAGCAACCGCATTAGAAAAGTTAAATGTGCGATCATCCGCCCACATCACAAGTAATTAGCTTTCTTCTGGGTTCTTATAGGCTACTCTTGCTAATTTTATGCAGGATCTCTACCGGTGGTCAACCAAACAAATGTCAAAATGCTTTCAATGAATAAGTAGACTTTTATGTTCGGAGCATAATGCATAAAATGTATATTGAGTCATCTGTCATATCTGCCATCTCTAAGCATTAGTGCTTAACTATAGATGCGTCCACGTATACTATTATTACCCTTTTTACACGTTACCATTTGCTCTTCGATAGCTGACTGGAGTTTATGTATTCAACTAACTTAGAACCATGAAACAGAAAAAAGAGTGCATCTTTAAATCATTACACATGTTATTTAACAACAAGCTAGCTATTGTAGTGTCGTCGTTGCTTTTCGCGTCACCAAGATATTTTTTCGTAACGGATTAATTACGAGTGTAATAAATATACTAGCAGTGCTTCCTGAGTCAAATCCGGTAAGAAATTAAATGAGATACAGAGTTAAAAAAATTAACGATGTAAGGTGTTTTTTTTTTTAACCCAATTGTAATGTGGTATCTATTGCTGCAAAATATATCAGGGCTTCACATTTTCTGGACCTATTGGTTATGGACAGCCTTGTTGTACTTTTCTTTTTTTTTTTTAATTAAGAACGGGTCTTAATGAAAAAAGGTGTTCAGTGAAGGGAATTGCATTTTTGTCTTTTCAATACATTAAATAGTGAATAGTGCTAGCTACTTTGCGGAAGACTCCGATTGCTAGCAACGGTTTTTTTTTGCCTTGAAGAAGTTTATCAATGAAAGTGTAAATAATAAAGGAAAATAATAATAAAGGAAAAACACACCTTTGTGAATTCACATGAGCTCCAGTAATACTGCTTGGTTTTCGGATGTCGGTTTTTAAAGTACTCATAATATCTCTTAACATATATCATTCCGGCCTTACTTAAGGAAATATATTTGGCCATCCGGAGCGCGCTACAAAATTATTTCAGGTGTTTTCAAAACACGAAAAATAAAAAAGGCTAAATCAAAAACAAAAAAAAAAAAAAAAAAAAAAAAAAAAAAAAAAAAAAGACAAAGACAAAGAAAGGAAAAGAAAACATAAGTTAAGAAACGCTAGAAAAGATTGATGTCTTGACTGTGCTACCATTCAGTGAGGAGACGTGGCACAAAAAAGAGGCGACTTAGATCTGCCTGCCTGCTCAGTGATTACTATTCTGCGAAGCTCGATGTTTTCCAGCACTTGGATTTTTTTATTTTCCTTGTGCCCTAAAGTATTCACGGTCGTCCATGTAGGAGGCAGAGAACTTAACGATTCATGCTTGTACCGCCAAAACTTTGAGATTCTTGAAATGAGTTTATGGCCTCGTATTGCTGGCAAATATTTAGATCAATTACGGCGACCTCTTTGAATTTTCGTCAACGTAACTGCTCAAACAGCCATAAGGTGCTCCATTAGTTCTTTGATGTATTGTATCCAAATCATCTTGGGGGGGGCAATTTTTGTAGGCGACTTTTTTTTAAAGGAGACAGTGCTGATATAGATTGCCAATATAACGCGAGTTCTGATTGGCTAGAACAGCTTACTGCTTAGGAGTTCAAAACCGTGTTCCATTCAACGGTGACACGATTTTTCTGACTGTATTTTGGCAAATTTGAACAAAAGAGTGGATTCAGTGGAGCAGAGGTAAAACGCTACTCTTTCTGTCAGTCACTCTCTGTTTTAGGTGCTTGCTCTGCGAATTTCATTTATCTTTTTCCGCTATTCCAGTTCATCAACTTTGACCAGCAGATGTGTCATTTTCCATATTGTATGAGATTATTTGACGTGCCCCCTGAATAGCATATATGAAAATTATTGCTCCACTACATTTTAGCATTTTTTAGCAAGGCTGGTTTGTTATAGAAGGCTTCCCTGAATTTGACGACATCAAATTAAACTCCTAGCGGGTTACCGTAATAAATCCTGAAGGTACTTTCGTCGACGGTCAAAAACGTCTTTAATTTTGATTTGCACGCTGCTGTGAACTTGAAGACTACTCTGTTGGCGGTTCTCTGTGTTTAGTCATACCATGTTCAAAAAAATTAAAAAAAGAAGAAAAAGGAAAAGCAAGTTTTTTTCAATGCCGCGGTATTATATTGGACAGCTATTTGATCGGATGGACGTCATTCCTGAGACTGATTTGGGTTATTTAACTACTTATGCCATTGGTAAAATTTGATTTTATTGTATGTCCCGGGTTGTCACTCAAAAATCATTTTACAGCAGGTTAGTTATAGTTACATTACATAGTTGAAGGCTTATTTTAAAAGGTAACGCTTACTGCGCTGAAAAATTGCCAAAACCATTATCTTATTTGCTGCGTGACGCTTTGTTTCTAAGACCCCTAGGCTCTTTATGTAAGGCGTCAAGACGTCAATCACATAATAGTCACTCACGTCACGGGATGTTTCACTGTCATAGCAAAATATTTATTCAATTGTTAAACTGGCCGGAAAACAAAAAATCTTCACAGCTGCGCTTCCAAAACAAACAAAGAAAAGGTTTACTTTCCTTGCTATTGTTGTCACCTTTCACGTGGTTCTTGTCGTGGCCACCCACCCTTGCAATTAGTTTTCAGTTCAAAATTTTGTTTTGATGCATGCACTCATCCAGATATTTTCCGGATTCAAGGATAATTTGGCTTAACTGGTAATTCAAGAGAGAAGGAACAGACGATGGTTCGAAAGACTTACAGTAACTGAGTGGAAGTTTCCCCGTTTCTATTTTGGCTGATCTGTGATACACTGAAAAGACTTAGAAAACGACTGAACCTGCGTTTATCGTATCCATCGAGACTGAATTACTAGCAATGAGTAATTATTCAAACAGGAGTGCCGACAACCTCACCACTTCGACGAGAGAACTTACCTCCTACAACTGTCCGTTCTTAGGCGACACAACCGCCATCAAAGGAGTCAAAATATTTTTTTATTGCCTCGTTCTGCTCATAGCAGTCATCGGAAACTCCTTGCTCATTGGTGTTATTAAGAGGAACAAGAAGATGCAAACTGTCACCAATTACCTAATTGCTAATATGGCTGTCGCAGACATATTGACAACGCTAGTAGCTGCACCCCGGCACATAACTTACACAATGTTAGAACCTGAGAGGTGGTTGTTTGGCGGAATATTTGGCTCAATCCTATGCAAAAGTTTGTCTTTCTTTCAAGATGTCTCAACCGCAGTGTCAATTTTCAGCATTTTAGCCATAGCTATAGACAGGTACAAAGGAATTGTATTTCCATTACGTGAAACGAATATAAGGCCGACGAAAAGCTGTAAAATTATCCTACCACTTATTTGGATAGTTCCAGCGGGCATTCATGTGGTTTACTTTTATGTGTTTCACACATTTACACGTGACAAGAAAGTGTATTGTGTTATCGATTGGGGGCCAACATTCGACGCGAAAAAACCTGTGGAAATCTACTTCATTGTAATGGTAACTTGTGAAATTTATATACCACTGTGTTTAATCATATGGCTGTATTGCGCCATCATCGTGAATCTCAAACGAAGCGCAATAAGGAGAAACAGGGGTCCTGCAAGCTGTAGAACTTTGAGAAGAATAAAGGAGGACAGAAAAGTTGTGAACAACATCGCTGCAATTGTCATTGCTTTCATGGTTTCGTCGATACCACTCAATGTCATTGGTATTTTATATTATTTCGTATGGGATTGGAAAATACCCTGCGGCGCTGAAAACTTTACCTTCGCGGCCCACATTATTTTTTATTCCAATCCTTCAGTGAATCCGTGCATATATTTCGTTTTGAATGATAAATATCGCCACGGTCTGGTGAGGCTGTTCAAGACAATGGTTTTTATCAAGAAGATCGAAAACACTGACTCAAAAACGTCCGAAAGAGAAACATTGAATCAAAAAACATGGTCATCTACTTTTGTTTAAAGCAATAAATATTTCAGCTTGAGGACATAAAATTATCAAAATTGGATGAGAACCACTGCGTTGAACTTTGTAAAAAACATCACCAGAGAGCACAACTTAATCACCTTTAAGTCTGGCACTGAGCGGTTCATCAGAAACAAAATTATAAGAGAGCTAACGACAAAACCGAGTAAATGTTTAATGTTCGCTACGATCTTATCGAGCAATTAGCCAACTCTGTTGACTCCGATAGCCTGTTCTGTAAACAAACTAACAAAATTCATCCGTATCAAAACAAGTGCGTTGGTGTAGTACTTCATCTTATCACAAGTACGAACGTTTATCGACTGATAAAAAAATAATTAAATGACGGGTAGAGAATGATAAATATTTCCGAAAGAAAAGATGATTGAAAACGAAAGACATACCTGAAAAAGGATTGCTTACTCCTACATGAGCCCAAACTGCTTGCAATTTAACTGTAATGAGCCATTTTTCGAACTTCAATTTTGATGTTAAATTTCCTTTTATTTTTAGTTCCGTTTGTGTTGTGTCTGTTTGATTTTATTTGTCTTAAGGGGTAAGAAGAATAATGCGCCTACTCGAACATTCCAGTTAAGTCTTGAAAGTGATACGCGACTTATCACGCTGCGAGAGAAGGACCTGAAATTAGAGGCGAAAGGAATAAAGACCGCATACTTGAATCCAATTAATCTTGAAGAAGATTCTGTTGGTAATTGGATACGAAATGAATTTATATTTAGCGTGGCCGAAGGGCAATTTTAGCACCACAACAGTCATCTTGGTAAGTATTTCAGGATACTGATCTTTAAATTACAGCTGCCTTTCAACACTACGAAAATATTTATTAGCTTCCCGTGCCTGTTAGTCCACCGTAGGAAGTGTTTGAAGGACAGTGTTCCATTTCAAGGCAGCAGGGGTTCCAGTTTCGATGTCGATTTAAATAACCGCGAGCCCTTCGGCAAATTAAACCGGAATTCATTATCGTTTTTATCAATCAACTCAGTAGACAGACTGTTTCGCTTTCTCTTTCGTTCCACCTATATCTCCGCCGTCTTTTCGTTTATACCCTGTCCTCTTTTCTTCTAGTATTCTTTTTCTTAAAAGCTGAGATAATTTTTGGACACTTGTTTCCACTTTTTCCTCGAGCTTGTAGGATCTTGTATGGTAAAAGAAGGAGACAGATTGGAGCCTCTTTCGAAAAAGCTCGGAGCTCTTAATAATTAGATTAACAAACTTTGTTATTGAGGCTGCTCTCGATTTTCATTATAAACCTTTCCAACCACACTTTCATCTGGTAATGATATTCTGAACGCGACAGACAACCAATTGATCCAAGACCTTTATGTAAGTTGTCCTAATATCACGCGATGCGAGAGGTTTCTCGCTTCAGGAAGGTAACATGATCTTTATAAGAAACGGTTTAGTAGAGAAATTTCAAGTTTGTCCCCGTTCCTTACTTCATTCCAAGAAATACGATGGCCCCTCATTTTCACCTTTGTAAAGGACATTTAGAACTAAACTAACAAACGTAGTCTGTTCTCCTTCACGAATATTACAGAAAAATCCACTCATTCTGTAAACTAGACATAATAAATCATGGCGGCTGACTTGATGTATAGGTTTAACAAAGGAAGTTGTCGGGAAAGCTCAATTACTACTAGTGTTATCTTTAAAAACGCCCACCGTTTAACGAACTCAGTTGAAGCGAGCCCCCGCAAAGTCAAGATTATTGTTTTCTTAAGCGGAACCGACATAATAGTCAATAAAACCATCATATAACATATAAACCAGCGAATAATTACGACAAGAATCTTCCTTTAAAGCAACTATTACGAAGGCTTCGTATAAGAACCGAAAATTTGATGATTTTATTCGTCAGAGAAATCTCTTATCTCTACCGCTCCCTCATCAGCACAAAATTAAATATCTCCGTATCCCTGTTTCCTGTTTCATGGTTTCATAAAATAATGAAACCACATTTCCTATTAAATCATAAAGGCACCGAATGAGACAATTTTCAAACCAATCCGTTTCCTTGTGCTCTGACAAGAAGTCCTCAGAGGTTCCCAGTCGTATAAATGATAATAAAACCGGTGAATTTTCAGGGAAACAGACCAAACGCGACGGGTAACCACTGAACAACTGGCATTCTTGTGACTTGTTCCAGGCGTTCAATTAGTAAAACAAGTCTTTTTTTCAACTTTTGTAAACTGTCCTCCCCAGACCAAAATTTGTATTTCCTGAGAACGGGAACCACAAAGTCGAATAACTACCGTTTCTGCTTGGTATGCAACAATTACTGCTCTCATGCATGGAATAGGCAGAAGTTGAGGTCTCAGAAATTCCAAAAAGATATCGATCAATTTTCTTTAACTGACGGTTTTCCTCGGTGTCGCTGTCTTGACTGTATTTTTAAGGTCGCTTTTATGTCGTGAAAATGCTCAAAACGCCGAACCCTAAACAAGGCACAGCAACTGACGTTGACAAACATACTAGAATAAAAGGCAGCCCATGACCGCATGTGCATACCTACTGTTGTAAAATTGTAGAGTATTGCGGTTAGAAAAAGTGTTGTTTAAAACGGAGAGCAGGTAATGAAAATCTTTTGTTGATGCCAAAATTGACAAGAGGAGGACTTGGTTAGAACAGAGTTTGCACACTGGTCAATTGACAAACCGGAGACAGGGCAGGAAATTAATGAAATAGGTACGCGTATCATATGTGCATTAAATTTTATGCAAAACTTCGCTTATTTAAGCTCTGCGTACCTGGCACAATCGATATAGCAATTCTACTCGAGTCCGAAGGTATAAGATTCGAGTCCTTTTCTTTCCTATTTTTTCTGCTTTTTTGCCTATTTTTCCTTTTTTTCCTTTTCAATTTAAACTGTCTATCAAAGGATATGTTAGATGTGTTCAGACTAAACAGCACATGTGAGAGCTTTTGACGACGTACTTTTTACGTTAGAGGTGAGACCCTGCACGATCAACGAACTAAACCCGACAAATCGAAAATGAATCCGAAGATATCCGATCAGAAGCGTTCAACGACAGTGCGCCATTTTGAAAACCGCGAGGGGTTTGGGTGAAGGTTTACGGGCTTTACGGGCTTATCAACCGATATTCTCTTGACCGTGACATAGTGCCAAGGGCCTTCCTAAAAGCTAGGCACAATAGCCACAAAAATTGGAATTACAATAATGGCCGCTTCTTATGAGGGTTCGTACGGAGGTTCATGTTTTCAAGTTCAGGTACTTTCCAGTTTTTAAGCACATTTACCGCCCATTCTAAAAATCTTTTTTCGGTGACTAGCGAAATCAAAATTACTCAGATAATTTTTTTCGGAATAAACTGGCTCGTTGGGGCAATTGACTTATCTTCTTGTTGTGTTGTGTTTTGCTTGTTTTTTTTTGCTTTTCTTGTTTTGTTTTGTCTTTATTTCGGACTACAGGTCTGCTTCTGAGCGTCAAGTGAAAACTGAACAATATTTCGTTAAAGGGGCAGTTCAAGATGTGTACATGATGCATATTTTTTACAACCCATTAGTTTTTAATCGTCCAAAACGCTGCATGATTCAACCGCTAGTACACAGGAGACTCGGTTCCAAGGAAGAACTCTTGCTTGCAATAACAGCGTGATAAATCTGAAAATAGCTGATAATTAATTGGTAAGGTGGATACTATTTTTGTCTTTTACCCCATGCCTTAAGATCTCGCTTAAGCTGAATCACTTCTTCAAGTAGTGTTTGGCTTGAGGTACCAATATTAATGAAATGAATACGATGTTATCATCCCGTGAGACGTAGAAAAAATCTGCGATGCAATTATTTGATTTTATCAAAGTAGTCTGAAACGGCTGAAGTACACTATTTATTACCAATAAATGAAGTAAATCAGATATTAACCCGTGGATTATAAAGAATAGCGAAATGACCCACAGAGGCGAACTGCGATTAAAGAAATCGTGGGAACCTAGGACGGATTTGGGTCTCATTGTCAACTGAAAATGCTTTTGCTTTTCTGCAATTTCTTTAAGAAAACCGGTTAGGATTATTTCTTCATTTTTTCCAACTGGTTATAAGTTCCTTGGGGCATGGGAGTTTTTTTTTCTTATGTCTTCCTGTTTTTAGAATCATCACATAACAGTTCCTGATATTGTTTTTATTGCTCCAATATACGAATATTGGCTCTTAATTGCTTTGAATGACAAAGCTTACTTCTGTTATTAAAGCGGTCTAAGTCCCTAATTAATTGTCATCGGGTTTATTAATTGTAATCAGCTTCACTGAGCAAGATATCATTCTGCATAGATAGCTCATTCTTACTTAGTATAAAGATTTTATGATGAAATTTTTTTTTCTTTTGCTCAACTGAATCCATAGCATAAAGATTTCATGGTGAAAAATGTTTTTCTTTTGCTCAACTGAATCCATAAGAGTATTATGAAGAAGATGATTACGATGGGATGATTTGGGAGATTATGGCCTGTGCATGTGAGAATATACAGCATAACAGAAATACTCTGACCCAAACCATTAAATTGATGCTATATTACCATCTTATCGTCAATATCTACGTATTTTAAAGAAAAATAGCTCTGGTTTGATTAGTCTACTTTGGTGGATAATAACCACGTTACGATTTTATCAAGGTTCTCTTTCGGAGTTTAAAAAGAAAATTAAATATCTTATTAGTTTGAAACATTTCATTGCTTTTTGATGAAGATCAAAGAGACAGACATTACGTGTTTAAGCAACAATTTCCTTGCTAAGAAAGCTGCGGGCAAATTCTTTAAAGATTTATGTAACCGCCCATGGAAAAATTCTCTATTGGTTGAAAACCAGCGAAATGATTTCACAGCGGATTATAAACCTTGCATCCATAAAAAAATAGGCGGTGTAAAATAAATGCGTGTGCCATAAGGTGATCGCCTCGACCAAAATCAAAATTTAAGTATGGATTTTTTTCACAACAGGATATGAATAAAATCAAAATTCAGGTTAGTTTGATGCACTCTTCATGTAATGAAATAATCAATTTAAAAAGAATGAAATTAAGCGTCTTTATTTTCTCTGCAGATATTGGTTGCAATTGTCTCTGGTATCATACAGGTTCGAGTAGCACCAGAGCCCAAAGGTAAATAGCTGTCTGTTATTTTTTCCTTCTTTTTCATCTGTATATTCAATCAAATGAGTCCCCCGAAACTGTAAAGTATCAACTACAAAATTTGGTCTACAGGCCAGCACGTATTTTGTACCTTTACAAGGGAAACAGAAATTGACGTCGGCAAAAGGAATCAAGTTTTATGGCTGATTCCGAAGTACCTATTAAAATTACCAATTACAATAACTGCATTTTCCTTAAAATAGTATACCTTACCTCCTATTATCATGAGGTTATAATGAAGAGAGATCAGCTGCTAGTCGTGATTAGGCCTTAATTTAAATGAAAATTCGACGAGATAACCTTTTCATATCTTAAACAGAAATTACCACCAAATTTTAATATGGTGCCGACTGACAGGGGTTTCAACATCTAAGTGGATTTAACTGAGAAGAATAGCGGACATAATTTGAAAAAACTCTTTAGCTGGCAATTCCACTGTGCGATGTAAATTAGGTGCTTGCAATCTCTTGAGACAGCGTCAAAGATAAATATTATTCCTGATATTAAAAAGGAATCTTAAAGAGTATGTCAAAAGAAAACTCGATGAAATAGACTTCAATTACAGTAAATGAAAAACTGCGTTCTCGTTATCTGCCTTCAAGTGAGGATGAATATAGGGGAAAAAAATTAAAATTTGGTTGTTTATCTTTATCAGGAGACAGCAGGGCGCCTTAAATTCAATATTCATAAAACTCTGAAAACGGTATCAGAAATACTAAGTTGAAAGAATATAAGGCTGAAGAAAAAAATAGGAAAATGTGCAAACTGACTTAAGCGGCTCTTAATAATCGCTTTAGTTTATTTGAACTAATTGCCTTGATCGCCTCATTATGAATCATGATATCACATCAAATGCTGTGCACCTGTAGGGGGAAAGGGAAGAGAGAAGTGTGTTAGCAATTATGCTTTTTTTTTCAATCATTATAATTATTATCAAAGTACCTTTCAGTTCTCTTTTCACCAACACGTGCTGATGAAAAACTGAAGGCGTGAAAATCACGTAGTTGGTGATGTTTTCTACTTGTTCAACGAAGATTACCTAACCATTATAGGGCCAGCATAATATATCACCTGACCATCAATATCATCACTATCATTTAAGAGCGCAAATAAAACAGTAAAATTTGCGTTTACCTGGTGTATAGTTTATGCTTCTGAAGAAAAATGTTGTAATATGCTTTGCGCAATTTGGAATTGTGCACGTCATTATCAATTATTGTATTATATTGACAGTTAGTTCCATTGTATTCCCCTTGAAGTTTTTCACGCATGGGAGATCATTTTCTAGAGCCATGTTCCATTCTATTCGGCAAAAAAAATCGAAGCGACTTTCCTTTAAACATTGAATACGTACTTTCATACGAAAAGCTAAAAAAAAAAAGTTTTAACTACTGGTCAGAGGGGGAAGATAATTTGCGGTAAAGGCCACCTTGATGTTAACGCGGTATATAGATATGAAAAATTAAATTGCGTCCGTCTTCCTTATTATGATATTATTTTCGATACAATCAAGCATGTCATACGTCTGTAGCTCTTTGTTGTGTAAACCAACTGGTGTTCTTAGTGTCCTGGATTTATCTTGGCCGAAAACACTGTGAATTCCTTTTTGCTTATTTTTGTAGCAGAATGTCGTCGGCCGGTACTTTTTGCCATCAACCCAAATCAGCTTAATGCCTCTACATCTCTAAACGGCTTCCCAGCAAACGAAGGTTTGATAACCGAATATGATTTTGGCGCCTGGTGTGCCGCTTTGAAGGACCAAGAACAGTGGTTGGAAGTGGATCTTCAGGAAAACAAAGATGTCATGGCTCTTGGTTTACAAGGCAGATATGGACACTCATGGGTTGAAATGTTTTACGTTCAGTATAGCAATGATAGGAACAAATGGTACTGCTATGGGTCGGAAAATGGTCATAAGGTAAAAACTAAGTATTGTTGTTGAGGTACCCACCGTGTAAATTTCCCTGCCGTTAGGGACCAAATAAGCCGTTAAGACAGCTTTCCAATCAATGGCATGTCACTTCACTAGCTATCATAAAAAATTGCTATTTGATATGCAAATCTCCGGGGACCTGACGTTAAGCTGGTGACCAAAAATGTTGGTTAGACGGTTTTCCAATCAATCAAAGTAAAGGGAATGTGACTCTGCTCATCATCATAAAATAAAAGCCCATGCAACATATGTAGCGTATTTACATGAATTATGCTCTACAAAAGCAAAGCTATTGCATTTTAATTTGCAGATATTTCAAGGAAATGAAAACAGTGAAACTGTGAAAATTTTTGTTCTTCACTTGGATTCGATTTTTGCACGCTACATTCGGATTAATCCACGTACCTGGAACAACAGCATTTGTCTACGAACTGAGATCTACGGATGCCCATACAACCCAGAAAAAGGTAAGAAGCCAACTGTATGATTGACTTGGTCATTAGGTAACGTAAAAAAACAAAAACATGCGTCATCAACGAGAAGAGTTGATAATTTCTAAATAATCATCAATTATTGTTTTCCTTTTAGTTTGTTTGTTTGCTGATTTTTTTAAATCTTACTTTAGCAAAAATTGTGCTGGCCTTCAGATACAACGAGTTATGCGTTAGACAGTCATCAAGAATGTCACGGTTAACTGCCAAAAACGTTGAAAGTCTTACGCGATTTGAACTAAAACTAATTACCCTAGCTCCTCAAATGTCTTACATCCCTCCTCTCCAGGACTATTTCAAAGTTAGATAATCGAGTCGCTCAATTTAAAATTCAAATTAAAATAATGTTACAGACTACGACACTCGTCGGCCTATGTATCAGGCCTGTGGACTGGATCATCCCACATCTCCACCAACTACAACACCTCCTCCTCATACTACTTCTGCAGAGCAGATAATAGGAGGTATGAAAATAATGATAATGATAATTAAGACAAAAACATGATGACAGGTCAAGAATAGACTTGTATGATGGAGTCTATTAAATACGTGTTTTCTTTCTCTCTCTCTCGCTTTCTTTTTTTTTTTACGTGGCTTTGGACGCCATGAGACACTGTACCAGTCCTTGTTAAATTTTTCACTAAAAGATCTGTTTAAGATTGGTTTTGATGCGCACTGATATAGGCATACGTCACACATCTGAAACGTGGTGAATTTAAGTAAATTTATTGTTAGGAGCATGTCAATAGCTCCCTTAAAAATCAGATGCATACTGCAGCTGAAAAGAACTTTTGTGTTAAATAAATCATTCATTGCAAGAATAATCAGCAAATCGTTACACTGAGGCAATCAGACTAACGAAGCAGTCACTAGCAACGATAAATATGAGTAACTACAATTGGGACTTCTTTTGGAGTGTTCGTTTCTTTCCTCATCCTAAGAGAAAGAGGCCTTAGGCAAGGGCGACAACATGCAAAAGGAGTCTCTTGAACAGCCGACATATTGCTTCCTGTATTTAAAGCAAAAATATAACGAGCCCTCGTCTGATTATAATGCATGGCAGGATTATAATGTATGTACATAGGATGCCTATGTACATTGTCAACGCAGGGTTATTTCTCCTCCAGATACTCCGGGTATTTTCGAAAATGTATATATTTTAAAAATAGATAGCTTGAGAGGGATTAGACGTATATTGGGATTTGATCCTGGCGTGACCGTTTTTTTGCCTGACACTGTTTTGTTTTCTCCTCATAGACATACCAATATCGCAGTTTAGCATTATCCTTCAGGATGGTCCCATAGTCAAGACGTCGAAATTATTCCCTGTTCGTGTCGGACCACATGATGGTACAAAAGTCCAATATCGATGGGAACTTGAAGACGAAGAACTGGTCAAAACTCAGAAGGTTTTTTTCCATGTTTACAATCACCCTGGCGCTTATACCATACACGTTACAGCATATAACAGAAATAACACGGTTAATAGCAGCACCATTGTTATTGTGCAAGATGAAATTAAAGGCTTAAAGTGCGTCCAAAGCCCTATCGCAGTCGTTCCGATGGAAGAGACAGTAATTGAATGGGTTATTTTTAAAGGTAATATAATTTTTTTGTGAGTGTGTGTTTGCGTTCAAGTATAAATTACGCAGAATGACTCCTTCATTTTTTTGCTCTTTTTGTTTGTTTTATTTTTTTTGTTGTCATGATAGAAATAGAAGATGAGGAAAATCTGTTTGTATACTGGCAATGTAAATGTTAACTGACGCTCTGTGTTATCGTCAATTGTGACATCAAGGAAAAAAGTGGGTTGCATTACATTGAGCAACACTAGAACTGATCTCTGACTTGCAGGTACAAATGTGACTTTCACAATTTCTCCTGGCGATGGCAGCGGTGAACACATTCTACAAACATTCACCGATGGTTTTTTCAAAAACTCATTTTCTCATCATTATGCACGTACTGGTGTCTACAGTGTCTCCATTGGGGCTAAAAACGATGTCGAAGCTACTCCGAAAACTGTGGAATGCACCGTCTCCGTAGAAAATCCGATTGTTAATCTGACTTTGGAAATACCAACAACTCGAATAAAAACTGGCTCTCAAGACGTATATATTGCAGTCGGTGAAAACGTTACGATAATAGGTAGTCTAACTAGAGGGACTAGCGTCTTCTGCGACTTTAACTTTGGTGAAGAAGTCTTAACCGGAGAAGTTGACTCCCTCACTAAGACCTATACATATAGAAAACCAGGAATCTTCACTGCAAGTCTCAATTGCTCGAACAGAGTAAGTAGTATGTACAAAGAGTCTTTAAAGAGGACCATTGTTCAAAAGGATGAACCGATTGATGACCTTCAGGTAATGGTCCCTGTCACGGTCAAAGGGCAACAGTCTGTGATTTCACTTTTGATGGCTTCCGGAACGGCTTTTGTTTGTAACTGGACCCTCGGTGACAACACAACTTTCCAGACAGATGTATCGGACATAGGTAAACAAGTCATACATCAATATGCTAAAGATGGACCTTTTGACGTAATGGTTAGTTGCAAAAATCGACACGGCATTGTTAGAACCCACAATGTTGCCTGGGTGCAAATACCTATCGCTAATTTAACTTGTAATTCATTAAACCGCTACATAATGGTATCACAAGAGACTCTTTTTAACATTTCTGTGCAATCAGGTTCTCAAGTGACCGTCGTAGCAGAATTTGAAAATGATCAAAGACAAACTGTTGTTTTTAAGGAGAGTTTTCTAAACTGGAAATCATTTATTTTGAAACATCCCTTCTTATTTTATGGGTCGTATTCTGTTACGGTAAAGGCGTCAAACCTCCTCGGAAGCCTCACCACCAATTGCACACCCATCGTTGTTGTGCAGAATCCTCTGGTTAACATAACGTTAACACCTGACAAGATGATTATTCAAGTATCAGAACCTGTTACTTTTCAGCTTAAGACAACAGTTTCGGAAAATTTTCTACCCAACGATGCAGCCTGTTCGTGGTTATTTGGCAATAGTTCGTATAAAAATGGCATACCTTTGATATTTACGAAAGGAGAACACAGTCTACTTCATAGATATTCATCCCCAGGGGAGTTCATAACTAAAGTCTCTTGTTCAAATGAAATCAGCAGAATCGAGCTCAACACGAAGGTCACGGTTCTCAAATTGATCGAGCCGTCCATGACAATTTGCCTAGACTGTAACCCCTCTCCAGACCTGACGAGGATTCCATCCAAGGCATATTTCGCTCTTGGCGACACAGTGACATTGTTAGTGTCATCTCAAAGCTTTGATAGGGCATATCACTGGAGAATCACAGAATATGGTGATCTTGCGACAACTGAACATCGTTTTCTTAAAGTAGTTTTGAACAAAACTGGAACATTTACGGCAAGTGTCCTTGTAGATAAATTGGTCGCCACAATGGCAGCATCAGTTGAATTCACTGTGCAAGAAAAGATTGACGGCATACTACTCCGGTCTAGTGGTTTCACGTGGCTGAGGAGTGCCACTCGTTTTGAATTCGCCTTGCCAAAATTTGATCACGGAAGCTGCTTTAATCTCACCTTGAACGACTCATTAAACTCAGAGAAATCCCAGTGCTCATTAGAGAGAACAAGAAATTACCTTTTTTCGTTCAACCACACCTATCTTTATGAGGGCAATTATACGGTTTGTGTCATTGTTTTTAACAAAGTATCAGAGGAAAAACGTTGCTTGAAGGTTGAAGTCTCTAAACCAGTTTGTGAAATAGGAAACGTTTCGATATCGGAGGTAAGGAACGAAGAAACTAATGCATATAAAAATAGTTTGAAAGTTTTGAAATACAGAAGATCTGATAGCTTTGAGCTCAGAGGGCTTTTTATCAACCGCTGCTTTCTACCAACTTCAAAGGATATCAAGCTGCTATGGGTAATAAAGCAAACGACAACGAAAAGCGTTGAGGGAGAAGATACTGGTTCTGTAATAAAAATAAGTCCTCGTTCTTTGCAATACGGCAGTTATGAGTTTGAATTTGTAGTTGAGCTTGCAAGTGTCGACGTAATTAATCTCTACGGGAAAGTGGCAGGAAACTCCTCGCTAAAAGTGGAAATCGTTCGTTCACCGTTGGTTGGCAAAATAAGCGGAGAAAAGAAACTAAATCTGAGCACGGCAGACACCCTAACGTTGGATGCATCATTTCATGACCCTGATCTACCACCATGGATGGACCAGCAGGGTATGGTCTTTAATTGGTATTGCAAGACACCGGTAGGTCCGCTTGCTCAGGCTGAACAGTTTGTTCACTGCTATGATGATGCGTTGAGGCCAGAAAACTTCATAAAAATTCTTTCTTACCCGGTTTTCACCACAAGATTGAACAGATACATTGAAAATAAATACTACATATTCACGGTTGTAGTTACCAAGGATGATCTCCAACCTTTGACAGACAATGTCACAGTGTTTGTTTCCCCTCCACCTCCCCCACCTCCTCCCCCGCCGCCAACAATGGAAATAAGGTACATTGTAGATAAATTTAAACTTATAGTCACATAAAAGCTTCAAAATATGTATTTTAAAGCTTAGGAAACTGGCTCAAGCAAATGAAATCTATAGTTTCACCTAGATTTTGTACACATGCTTTTTTGTTTTTGTTTTTGTTTTTATTTGAGAATGAGTCATGAAACCTTAAAAATATCCTTAGATAGTATGTTTTAAGTATGAAAACCGTATGCTTTCCCATCAACTATGTTTTAACTATTGTATTGTTTTTCCTTAAATTTATCAGGTGCTTTTATAGTGTTTGTCCTCATAAAGTTTCACCTTCAGTGAATCTCAGACTTCAGGCTGTTTGTGTATACGGATGTGGAATTTCCAATCTCTTTTATCAATGGCAGTTTTTCACTAAAAATGAAACTGAATGGAGCTCGTTGGAGTTTCCAAGCGAGTTAAAGGTGGAAACCGATAAAAACGACTTTACTGTTCCCTCGTACATTCTCGAAAATATTCTGGGGCAGGGAGGCGAGGGTCTTGCTCAGGTTGAAGCGTGGAGGGAAGGCAGTAAAAGAGGTTTCACAAACAAGACTATAACAGTTAATGAGCCACCAATACCAGGAAACTGTTCATGTATTCCGTCGCTTGGCGAGGGCTACAAAACAAACTTTCAGGTCATATGTGACGGCTGGGTTGATCCAGACAAACCACTACGATATAGCTTTAGTTATGGCGAGGGTGATAACTCCCGGCCGGTTTTGACCTCAACAGAAAAGCCTAGCTCCTCAAAGCCTTTCAAGATTTATAAACAGCCTACGAATGGCGATACTTCAATTCCGGTAAAAATTACAATATTGGTTGAAGATTCACTCGGAATGAAGTCTGCCATGTCTATCTTCGCAAAGGTACGACTGTGCAATTTATAAGTTGAGTAAATTCTATCCCTGTGGTAAATTTTGTTTTTTTTTTTCTTTTTCATTACCATACTGAACCCAACGAATGAAGAAAATTGAATTAGAGGCAAAACTTATGTAGTTAATCAATTTTAATATATGGCGCGGTCACTAGTCACGGGGTATATCCTATCTGATTGGTTAATTGCGATTGTGCACACGACGTTTTTCATATCTGCATCAAGCGCATCCTTCGGAATACTTTTTATAATGTGGATTCGAGTTTAGATGAATGATCCGTAATCTCTTCAAACTAGATAGCATGTTTACAGGCGTTTTCACTATAAATACGATGATACGGCAAACTTGCTTTCGTGCTTAGATAATACTTGCCTTCTATCATATTTCCAAGAAATATTTTATGCTTTTATTTATTCCTTCATGTAACTTTGCATTTAGGTAAAAAAGGTAGAGAAGGCACCAGTAGATCTTGGCAATATAATGAAGAATATAGACTCTGAAAGCACCCCTATAAACAACGAAGAGCAAGCTGGAGAGGAATTACAAGTCTTGGGCGACGCTCTTGCGCAGCTCCAGCTCTCCAATCAGCAGAGTTCTGTTTCTAAGTCCGAGGCGTCAAATACAATCACAACAAGAAGACCAATAGTTAATCAAAATGTGGACAAGGAAGAAGGAGAGCAGACTAACCAAGGAAGAGAAAATGGAGACCCATCTCAGGAGGTGATACCCACCACTCCTCGACCGACAATGTCACCAGAGCAGATACAATACGCCACAGTAAGTTATGCTGAATATGTCCTCTGTATGCTGATCAACAGCTAGTGCTCGCTGACGATTGTTTTTTTTTTAATTTTTTTTCATGAATGGGGAGTTGCACTGGCATAACAGTTAATCTGCAAGAAATTTGCAGGCCAGATCTCAATATTTGTGTGATGATCTCAGAAAAGACATTCTCATACTCCCCTAGGGCCTTTGTTAACCTAAGAACATTTGAGATCGAACAGCGTCTATTTTAAAATCTGAGCCTCCGTAGATTTGCAAGGTCTTTTTCGAAATATTCATTTATTTTGATGATATTTACTGTAATATTTGACTAACCCAGTGTACATTTTATTATTTATAAAATTTT